ACTGGAAGGCACCAACCTCGTTTGTTCCCAAGTCCGGACAAATTGTGAAACCTTTCTGATGGTTCTGGCGCAACCTGGCGTCGGTCTGGAGACCAGAATGTCCATTGCTGCTGCTTCTAGGATGTGCGAGTAGAGAGATGAGTCGGTGAGAGTTATTTTCTTGCAAAAAGTGAACAGGGACTCAAAGAAGGCAATGGAGATCTTCCAAGCCCTTTCAATGCAATGCTTCGTGTATCTCAAGCAGGCAACAAACGCACATGAGTTTTACCGACATCTGACGGAGAATGCAAACATGCCCGAGGCCATGCGATTCCCCGTTACACACGAAGAGATGCCCGAGAAAGCCTGGAGACGACTTGCCGGCAAGGTAACCTTTCAATATCTTCTCTTTAGCCGAATACTCAAGGGCGTGTCACGTTCCGCAGGAGAAATCTGCTTGATGGAAAGCATAGAATAGAGTAGCTCTCTTCCGTCACAAACAAGCATGCCGATGTATCAGATCAGTCCACCGACCTGAGACATACTTCCACTCGATATCTCCTAGGTCAGTCATTTCTCTGGATCGCCCCTGGGTCTAATCCCCTATTCGGGCCCGCTCCCGAACGGTCTGCATGTAACCGCAGAGTACGTTGTTGTATTACCGTTGCGGTAGAGAAGGTAGACTAGGCAGGGGGCCATCCATTGGAACAAGGCATTAACCAGACATCAATTGAGCATTCCAGAAAGAATGAAAGAAAAAATAAATAAATAATAACAAACTAGTAAACGCTACACACGTGAGAGACCCGAAAGTCTCCAGTTCCTTCTGACAATGATAATGCATGATTGTCCATGATCCCATGCCGTGTGAATTATTGCAAGGTATCATCATCTTTCCATAAAACATCCCACTATTGACGAATATCCCAGACCCTGTTTTTTTTTTTTTTATCTCCTCGTGAGTTGAAAATTTTAATCCCAGGGGGTTTTTTGCCTTGGTATCTGCACGGCAGACGCAGCACGGCCAAGGGTCCGATCCTCTTAAGAACAGGGCACGCTGAAGAAGAACCACCAATTTGGAATACCAGGTCGATGCCTAAGATCTCTTTGCCAGAGCTAGTTAACTATGGGACAGACAGACCAAGATTAAATGCAGGTCGGCTGTTTTGATTAAAAACGGGAAGTCCATGTTACTTTGTAGATGAAATCAGGAATCAGTGTGGCTGAAGATTTGGTCTGATTTTTTTTTTTTTTTTTTTTCCTTGGAATCGTGGTAACTTGTATATGTAGTGCCCACAGTTGCTGTTCTTTTAGTACATGTTGTCAGGTATACGGTATGTACATATAGTCAAGAGTACCTATCATTGCCTGTCCCGGTAGGGTATTGTGTTACTTTGCTTCGAGGCTACCGTATTCACTTCCTGAAGATTAACTATTCATGATGAAAACTGAGAAGAATCAGCTCATACACCTGGTGATCCGTCAAGATTAGACCAGCCCTGCTCAAATCTACTCGAGACCGGAGAAGAGCCAGAGAAAGCGAAAAGAAAGAAAAGAGAAAGCCAATTTTTCAAGCAACATGCTCCCGATTAGCTTCTTCCATCTGCCTCCTTGGCCTTGTAAATATCCTTGACATCTTAACCGGCGAAACACCTGGCGTCTCGAAAACAGCATCGATTTCCTCCAACGACAGTCCATACGTCCTCAGGGAAGACAAAGTACGACAGGGCCAACTGCACACTGTTGTAGACGATATACACCACCCAGATCTTGTACCCGAGCTTGTCAATGCCGATTGAAATGCCGTAAGTTTGCACCGCACCGCACCGCCCTGGATCAACCCGTAGAGGCCCATCCCCTTGGCACGCAGCGGGAGCGATAAGATCTCGACTGGGTACAGGTTGTGCATGGTGGCAATGAGCATTGCCGAGAACGTCTGGTACATGAATATCCAGAGAATAGTCCAGCGCCGCGGCAGCATGCGTGGCATGTACGCTGTATTGCCAGGAGGTAATGGTTGTTGCGGTTTGGAAGAGGATCATAGTTGCGAGGCCGGAGAAGATCATGGTTCGTCGCGGAATTTGTCAATAAGCAGGGCACCGACAGCTGTGAAGACGAAGTTAGGTGGCTGTCGTGCCGAGAGAGATTCCAAGTTGCTGCATTGAGCCGTGAATGCCGATTGTCTCAAGGCGGGAACCATCTGGGCGTTTGCTTGTTAGTTTTTTTTTTTTTTTTTGAATTTATTTTGTAGGGGGGGATAGTTTTTGGAAGGGTTTGGGGAAATGAATCGGGATATGTAAAGAATAGATATACGGGGGTGGAACTCACGTAGTAGCCGATGATACCACCGCCGTTCCACTGCTGAAAGACAGAGTACAGGAAGAGAACGAACAGGCGGTAGCGCACAGTTTTGGTGAAGAAGACCGAGTAATCCCAGAATTTCTGGTGGCCGGCAGCGCGATCATTCTCAATGGAAGCCTCCATCTGGGAGACACGATCTCAAACGATGGGCTGGTTAATGTCTCCGCTGGTAGTGTGGTACTTGGCAACCACACGTTTGGCGGCCTCACGGTTGCCGCGCATGACATAGTAACGAGGTGACTCTGGGCAGAGCGTGTAGATTCCGATGCAAACGAGAGCCGGGAACACCATGTGAGGTAGCAAAGGGAGGCGCCAGGCCAAGTTACCCTCCAAATTAGATATTCCGATCAACGCAGCGGTCATAGCCAGACTGCCGATCTGGAAACAGGCGCCGAAGAACCCGACCATTATACCACGTAGATGAACGGGAGAGATCTCACCCATGTACTGGGAACTGGAGAGCAAGGCAGATCCAAACCCCATGAGGAAACGCCCACCCTGCAACGCATGCAAGTTGGGCGCAGTGGCCTGAAGGATAGAAGCGACGATGACAATCAAGTTACCGACGAAGTTAACGCCACGACGGCCAAAGACATCGGAAAGGGCCAGGAAAGGAGCACCGCAGACGGTGCCGATGTTCATCAGCGCGTTAAGAAGACCATAAGTGCTTCCACTGGTGCCAAATCCAAAGTACGAGTGCCAGGAATCGAGAGCGTTAATACCACCGATGACGGCCCAATCCACACCAAAGCCTGCCTGGTTGCATCCCATCACGAACATGATGAGAAATAGACGAAAGCCAGTCCAGGAGTAAACATTCAGTGATTCCCTTGAGAGTTTCCAAATGTCCTCATCCGTCAGGCTCGCAAGGACGGCCTCCTCCACATGATCAGCGCTCTTAGGTGGAAGGTCGTTATCCTCCATTGAAGTCACTGTCTCCTTTGTCATAGTTAGTTAATGACTGGGGGGTATCAATAAGCAGAAAAGAGCAGAGAAACAAAAAATATGATTTTAACCCCGCGGTCAGAAATCAGACCTGTCGCCTTTGCTAAGTATTATATGCTTGACTCCATAACTGGATGTCAAATTGACCAATTCTTCCCGCCAGCGAGAATACGGCCATAATTCCTTTCCCCATACGTAGTGGCGACTCAGACAAACGATCACGAGCTATGGAAATCTGGAGCCACAAGGGCTCTGGATTGTCTATCAATGGCACCAGGTTCCCCTCCCAGTAGCGGTTCTCAAATTTTCTCGCCAACCTCGAGAATGCGAGAGGTGGACTTTAGCCGGGGGGAGAAGCACCAGCAAATCGGCTTCCAGTCCGGGGCCCAGAATTCCCCGGACTCCACATTGCACTAGCTGGAGATGGCCAACCGACTATCATTCAGTCGGGTTTCCTGGCTGAGTGTTGGCTTCGTGCTATTCGATATGTTATCCGGTTTGGGGATTTGATTAATTCTTAGTGGTGCAGGAATCCTCATCTTGCCGCCAGCCAGCCAGCCACAAGAGGCTAATCGAGAAAATGCTGAAAGAAGGGCAGCCCGCTACGGCAAATTTTCCACTAATCAAAGCGGTTGGATGAGAGCCGAAAAATGAAAAGACCACCATTGGTAGCAAAGAGACACCACTCATGCTTCAGACTCACGCAATCTGCTGTCCTGAACAATCCCGCCTCCAAGCGGTTTGTTCCAACTAATCGACTGACCATGCTCTCTGGTCCGTTTTCATCTCGGTAAACAGTCCATTTCATCCGTTTCTCTTGTTCAAGCGCTGATGTGAATAAGGACCTTGAGATTCAGCTGAATCATGTCTGAGCTCTGGTATCGAAAACCTGCCAGTGGGTGGGATGAAGCCCTACCAGTAGGTAATGGACGCCTTGGGGCAATGGTCCATGGGAGAACAGATACAGAGCTCCTCCAACTGAACGAAGATTCTGTGTGGTATGGTGGCCCCCAAAATCGCCTGCCGGGGGATGCTCTAGAGCATTTGCCACGCTTAAGAGACTTGATCCGAAAGGGTGCTCATGCAGAAGCAGAGCAGCTGGTCCGTCGAGCCTTCTTTGCCTCTCCCAACGGCCAGCGGCACTACGAGCCTCTAGGTACTCTGTCGCTCGAGTTTGGGCACCCGTATGACAGGGTCAAAGGCTACAGACGCTCGCTGGACTTGAAAGAAGGCATTTCCCACGTCCAATATGAGTATGAAAATATCAAGGTCCATCGGCAGCTTCTCGCGAGCCATCCGGACGAAGTACTGGCTATGCGCATAGAAGCATCGCACCCCATCGAGTTTCTAGTGCGTCTCAGCCGACTGAGCGAGGTAGAATATGAGACAAATGAGTTCCTCGACGATCTGATCGTAGACAATCGCTCTATTACAATGCACGTTACTCCTGGCGGCAAGGGTAGTAACAGTGCCAGTTGCATGGTTGCGATCCGCTGCGACAATAGCCAAGGGGAAGCACCAACGATCGCGCGAGTCGGCCAGAATCTAGTTGTCAATGCCCGAAAGACTCTTATCCTAATATCTGCCCAGTCGACATATCGGTTCAAGGACATTGACAAGGCAGTAATTGCTGATATAGAGCGGGCACTAGCACTCTCCACTGAGAATATATGGAAACGACATATCACAGATTACCAGGCGCTCTATGACCGCCTAGAACTACAACTTGGTTCTGATGCGACACACCTGCCGACAGAGGAGAGGATCCTGAATGCGCGTGACCCGGGCCTAATTGCTCTATACCTCCACTACAGTCGATACCTTCTCATATCTTGCAGTAGGCCGGGCAAGGAAGACGGCTCGGATCGCGTGCTCCCAGCAACCCTACAGGGTATTTGGAACCCATCATTTCACCCTCCATGGGGCTGTCGGTACACCATCAATATCAACCTGGAGATGAACTACTGGTCTGCCAATGTGGGGAATTTGTCCGAGTGTGAGCAGCCATTGTTTGCCCTGCTTGAGCGTGTTGCCGCTGCCGGTACGGAAACGGCACGTAAGATGTACGGTTGCCGTGGGTGGACAGTCCACCACAATACCGATATTTGGGCGGATACAGCCCCAGTGGACCGCTGGATGCCTGCGACACCGTGGCCGCTGGGAGGTGCCTGGCTTTGTTTTCACATATGGGACCATTACCGTTTCACGGGGGACAGGGCTTTGTTAGCCCGAATGTTCCCCGTGCTCCGCGGCTGTGTCGAATTCTTGCTAGACTTCTTAGTAGACGACGCTACGGGCAAATACAAGGTGACAAATCCATCTATATCTCCCGAAAATACTTTCTTAGATGAAAACGGAAACCCGGGGGTGCTTTGCGAAGGCTCAACGATTGACATCCAACTGATTCGTGCTCTCCTGAATGCGTTTATCTCAGGAATAACAGTGCTCGACCTTGCTGACGATGAACTTCTCCCGAGCGTTCACGAAACATTGAGTCGTTTACCTCCGATGCGCATAGGATCCGCTGGACAACTCCAGGAATGGATGGCTGACTATGGTGAAGCTGAGCCTGGCCATCGACACGTCTCGCACCTCTGGGCTTTGTACCCGGGTTGGGATATCAACCTTGGCACCACACCCGACCTAGCTAAAGCGTGTGCTATTACCATACAGCGACGTCAAGCAGCGGGTGGAGGCCACACAGGCTGGAGTAGAGCTTGGCTCCTCTGCCTGCACGCCCGATTGGGAGCTGCAGATGAATGCGCGAAGCATCTAGAGCTACTGCTAGCGCAATCCACCCTACCCAACCTTCTGGACACGCATCCACCCTTCCAGATTGATGGCAACTTCGGTGCTGGTGCTGGTATCTTGGAGATGCTAGTGCAGTCACACGAAGGTGTCATACGGCTTTTGCCCGCTTGTCCGGATGAGTGGCGAACTGGAAAGATTCGTGGAGTTCGAGCACGTGGGGGATTTGAACTGGATTTTGGATGGAAAGAGGGGGAAATCTGGGGACCAGTTATCGTGAAGTCAGAGCTGGGACTTCGGACAGTGATCTATTACCCCCATAATGGACTGCAAAAGGTCGTAGAGGGTTCGGGTGTTATTATTCTTCCCGGCGAAGATATCAATTAAATCATATATGTCTGGAAGATGGAAGTTTTCTCGATTGTCTCGTAGGGGCCCATTTCTACACTTCGGTTGCATGGATGACCTGGAGCCATACTGAGGCAGAGAAGCTCCACAAAACATCCTGAAGTCAAAGCTGCACTTAGTATCGTGCGACGTGCTGGCGTTAGTAGCTCTAAAAGCTTCATCTCCATTCCAGCCCCTCTTTCTCACCCCGCCGGAAAATTAGTCGCGGATGTTTTCCAGCAATCAGGGACCGCAATCTAATAGCCAAGCTTTCATTTATCCGAATAAAGACCCGAATGGCCAGGGCTGGTAGTTGGAGGCGTTGACGGTTCCCTTTTTAAGCTCTTTCCTCGAAGGCCCCAAGCTAAGACGATGCAAGTCTAACCGAAGGAAAAAAAAATCTACAGAACAGAAAGAGGCGCAAAGAGAAATCATGGATTTGACTTCTGTTCAGGACCTCAAGGGTGTTCTTCGCAGCGACTTCTTCCACGGCTATGCCACAGCAGCCCCCCAAATTGAGGGAGCCTGGAACAAAGATGGCAAAGGCCTTTCGATCTGGGACACCTTTGGTCACAAACCAGGAAAAATCAAGGACGGCAGTACTGCGGACGATGCAGTGCGGTCCTATGACTTATATCGGGAGGATATCGCCTTGATGAAGTCTTACGGAGTCAATGGCTACAGATTTTCTCTGTCCTGGTCGCGCATCATTCCTCTTGGAGGCGCAGAGGATCCCGTCAACGAACAAGGTATCAAATTCTACCAGGATTTGATAGACGAAATGCTCCGCAACGGTATTACACCATTTGTGACCATCTTTCACTGGGATGTACCCCAGGCTCTAGAGGACCGATATGGAGGCATGTTAAACAAGGAGAAGTTCGTTCCTGACTTTGTTCGTTTCGCGCGCGTCTGCTTCGAGCACTTGGGCACCCGCGTGAAGTACTGGATTACTTTTAACGAGCCCGGAGTGTATTCACTAGCAGGGTATGCAGCGGGTGTCCATGCTCCTGGACGCTCGTCCTACCGCGATCTCAATGAGGAGGGCGACTCCTCTACAGAGCCTTTCATCGTCAGCCATACGCAGCTGATAGCTCATGCATACGCTGCGAAGTTGTACCGAACGGAATTTCAATCCGAGCAAAAGGGCACAATCGGAATCACCCTGTCCGGCAACTGGTCAGAAGCCTGGGATGAGGATGACCCACGCGACCAGGAAGCTGCCGAGAGAGCCCGGGAGTTTGAGATCGCCTGGTTTGCGGATCCTCTGTACACGACTGGCGATTACCCTGCCTCTATGAGGGCCCAGCTCGGTGATCGTTTACCACACTTCACGCCCGAGGAATCGAAGCTAGTGCTAGGCAGCTCTGAGTTCTATGGTATGAACTCCTACACAACCTTCTTCATGCAGCATAAGGATACTCCTGCCGATATCAATGACCACAAAGGCAATGTTTTCATCCACGACACGAACAGTAAGGGCGTCCCCCGAGGAGAGGAGTCTGACACGCCTTGGCTGCGCATGGCACCAGCTGGGTTCCGTAAGCTGCTCAACTGGATCTGGTCAAGGTACCACATACCCATTTATGTCACTGAGAATGGCACTACTGCAAAGGGTGAGACAGCGCCAACATCGGAAGTGCTCAATGACACCTTCCGCCAGCGATTTTTCGAGGGGTATGTTGGTGGTCTGGCACGAGCTGTCAAGGAAGATGGCGTGGATGTTCGCTCATACTTTGCCTGGACATTTACCGACAACTGGGGTATGATCCCATCCATATCTCCTGTCTTATTTTGAAGAAACTAACCAGAGTAGAATGGGCCGCTGGTTACACTGATCGATTTGGATGCACTTTTATCGACTATGATTCTCCTGAGAAGACTCGCTACCCGAAGCAATCGGCATATTATCTGAAGGCACTGTTTGAGCATTTGATTGCTGCATGATGAAATGATGATATGAGCAGAAGAAGGGGTATTTCTAATCCGGGTGAAACTTGAAGAAGAAAGAGAAGAGGGGAAAAAAGGGGGGGGAAGAAGAAGAGGTTATACCTAGAACAAAAACACATATATAGATAAAGTGATACAAGGTATATACAGCTCGTATAAATACAGACACTGTATTGAAATCCTGTTACACTGTAATCAGTTGTTACTTCACGTGTGAAAGCGGTATCTCACAGCAGAATAACTGCGGTTTCCCAAGAAATTCCTGGATAGCTTCATCTTGGCTCGTTGGGGCTAATTGTCCACGAGTCCAACATCACCATGCTGTCCGTATCCCATAGGGTCTGTATTTACTGCAGACTCTCTTGTCGCTCTTTTGCCTCCATCACGCGTCCTCCGACTGCCCCCAAACCCAGTCCCGACGTCAAACATATCCGGCAGAACCCCGAGCTCTATGCCCAGAATTGTCGCGACCGCAATTACCCGTCACACGCAGATTATCCGTTGAAGATCCAGCAACTCTCAGATGAACTCCGTCAGATTGACCACCAACTGCAACCGTCACGTTCACGGATAAAGGCCCTCGAAAAGACCATTGCGAAGCTCCAGCATCAGGCCACCGAGCCGCAGAACAAAGACCAGGAGGCCGCTCTCCGCGCTGAAGCCCAGGAATTGAAGGATGAATCACTCGCCCTAACAACGCGCAAGGCATCCTGCACGGAACAGGTCCAGCAACTTGCCCTCTCTCTCCCCAACATCTCCTCTTCCCACACCCCAATCGGCTCCGAGCCTACCCTCGTTGAATATCTCAACTTCGACGCCCAGTCACCACCCGCTTGGGTCCATCGCCCCGATCCATCTCGTTCACACGTTTCCATTGGATCTACTCTTGGCCTCATCGACTTTGCCAGCGCTGCCACCACGACAGGGTGGGGTTGGTACTTTCTTATTGGGGACGGTGCTCTCCTCGAACAAGCTCTGATACAATACGCCCTGACGGTTGCCCGGCGCTATGGCTGGACCCCCGTCTCCCCTCCCTCAATTGTCTACTCTTACGTCGCAGAGGCCTGTGGCTTCCAACCCCGCGACCAGAACAACGAACAACAAATCTGGGCCATTGAACAATCTGAAAAGGACAGGGCCAAACCCCAGCGCTCGCTCGCCGCCACCGCCGAAATTCCTCTGGCCGCCATGCACGCGGGTCGCGATCTCGAACCCTCCACTCTACCCCTCAAACTAGTGGGCCCCAGTCGCTGCTATCGTGCCGAAGCCGGCGCGCGAGGCGTAGACACTAAGGGCCTGTATCGTGTGCACGAATTCACCAAGATCGAAATGTTCGGCTGGGCGGATAATGTCCCCGCCTCGTCTTCGATACCTTCTTCAGACGATCTCTTTAATGAGCTCCTCACCATACAGAAGGAGATCCTGACATCTCTTCGACTTCCCTGCCGCGTTTTGGAAATGCCCACCACCGACCTCGGGGCCAGCGCCAGCCGGAAACTTGATATTGAGGCCCTGTTCCCATCCCGCATGCGCGGTGAAACCCTCGAGGATGCCTGGGGAGAGGTTACCTCCGCCTCCATCTGCACTGATTATCAGTCTCGCCGATTAGGAACTCGCGTCCGCGGAGGTACGGCTAAAGACTCTCGATTCCCACATACAGTCAACGGGACGGCAATCGCGGTACCCAGGGTTTTGGCCGCGATCTTGGAAAACGGATGGGATGCAGAACGCGGGGTGGTTGTTATCCCCGAGGTCTTGCGACCCTGGATGGGAGGTATGGAAGTCATCGGTAAATGACATCGTAACCTGGTTTCTATCACGGATGTATTCAATACCGTAACTGTAAGATATAAATCATATTGATTCTGTACATTAACTCTGACCTGGAAAACGAAAAAAAAAAAAAAAAAAAATAGATGTTTGCAAATATGACGAGTACCACCAAGATCTTCTCGAATACAGTACACCAGAATCCGAGGCGGTCGTAAATAGTTTAACCAACTGTATTTTCATAACTTCATTATTTTGGCGTAACTGTCGTGGGGCAGTAAGTGTAGAAGAAGAAAATAACAACAAGCCGAGATGGGAAAAGAAAGGAAGTATATAATAATGTAGGTCAGGGAAAGTCAATCAAATCATGGGCGGTCATCACAGAGGTCATAATAAAGGGCAAAATATCATGGAACAGAACGTTCAGGGTATCGATCATTCATTTCGGTCGTAAATTTATTCCCAAGGAATATCTTCGTCTTCAACTTTGATGCACGTTAGATACGGAATAGAGTCGTTGAATTCGCCGGCTTTCAGATCTAATTCGAGGAAATTGCGCATTAGTGGTTTCACGATTTCACGGGCCAGCCGTTTGATTTCGTCCATTTTGCGCTCAAACCGCTTAAGGACCTCTCTCGTGTACAGAGATTCGGCAGACGGGGTTGGGTGGACCTTCAAGAACTTCTTGAGCTCCTCATGTGGGAGGTAAGCCTGGGTCGACGTGGAGCCAATGAGCCGATAGACCCGGGCCGAGGAGACCGGGGTAGGAGTGGCCGAAGACGGGAGGAGGTCTGTCGGTCTAGGCGCCGACGGAGTCGTAGGCGTTGACGCAGCTGGCCCACGGCTGGAATGGTTGCTGCTGTTGTTGTTGTGTATAGAATGCGAGTTGTTTTTGAGAATTGAAGAAGGGGGGGGAGTAGTACTATCCACGAGCCATTGGCGGAAAAGGGAAACGGCAAGCCAGTCTAGATATGCATTGTGGGGGGTGACACGTTCACCGCGAGAAGTGGTTAGAGTTAGGCGCAGCAGCTTCGAGTCGATGCGTGCCTTAATATCTTCGAAGTCCTCAACCTTGTCTTCAACAATGTCCAGGACCGCGTGGGGAAGCGGGGAATAGGGTCCGTTTCGGAGGTGTGGTAGTCCAGCCGGCCATTGGCCTACGACGTGGATGAGGGCCTCCGAGAAGATGACACGACTTCGTGCAAGATACCCTAGCTTTAGGTAGCTTGGCGGGTATTTGGCAATTTGTTTGAATAGTCGAGATCCGAATCCCAAAAGGTGATGGTCCACACGGGGCCCGGTGACAGGTAAGGCATCATACATGTCTGCCAGGGCCAGAAGGGCCTTGCATTCAGCATAGGCGGTCGCGATGTTGATGTTATTAATGATCGGCGGGTGATTATAGAATAGGCGGAACAGGTTATCATAGTCACGAAGTGTGGGATCCATCGCTGCGCCATTGGCCGTACCTGTGTTTGCTGCCGCCGCTACCGCACTGGGCCTATGTGGCAGATTCATTACGGACTGCATGCCAGCCAAGTTTGCCATGGAACGAGCGAATCCGGTATGCGTGCTTGATGGCTTGGTCATTGACGGCGCGTACGGTCCGAAATCACTCACAATGGTACCAGAAGCACTGGGGGGCTAGAATGCCCCAACAATTGTGTAAGCCATGGTCTGGGGGGGGGGGGGGGGGGGGAATACCAACCTTTTGCACCAGAATTGGCTCTTCATCCTCTGCTTTGTTTTCCCAGTCCAACTCGTATCGCCACCGTTTCTTCTCGGACGAAGATTGAGCGGCACCGACCTCGGATTGAGCCAGAGTTGATCCATTGGAAAGTGATGAAGTATCCCCACTGATCCTCGACAAAGCAGTTGAATCCAGATTGTTAGAGGGCCGACTGGAGAGAGGTTGTTGTGGCCACTCTTCCCGAGTGCTAGCCTCAAAGAACCCCGAGCATTGTGTGAGGATAAGCCGGTGTAGGAGATATCGATTTTCCCGACCGCCGGCGCGAATCACGATCTCGACATCGCCAGTATGTGTGAAAATGGGGAAATCATTCTGAGGCTGGTGGACTGGTCCACCATGATGAGAGCGACTAGAACGGTGTCGCCGACTGGTCTGGGAGTGACGCGATACTGTCGAGGGAGCGCCTTGCGCGGGCATAGAGCGATCGAGGACTTGGGCTTGAGAGACCATTTCTGAAGGTAGAACGGAAATGGGCGACTTGGTTGGCATGGTAAGAGAGTGTGCGGTGGCCAAACACCAAAGAGTGTGTTGTGTGCGTCATTCGACCGCGCAACACACACAGGGAGAGAGATCTGGAAACAGAGGGCCTCCACCAGCGAGGGGAGATAACAGAGGAATAGGGAGCGGAGGGGACAAATCCACAAAAGCGACAGACCAGAACTATAAGAAAGGTTAGTCACAGTAAATACGGAAAATATTCGCAAAGTCGGCAGCAAGACATTATCAGGGAAGGTTGGGAAGGTGAAACAAATACACACACAAACACATACACACCAAAGGATGGCAGGGTCTAGGAGATGTGATCCATGGCTTGAGTTGTGGCGGACTCTGGAGGATTTATTGATCTGAAGATGATTTGTTGTGGTTGAGAGACAAGAATCACGGGATATAGGTATGCTTTGGGCTTGTTTTCGGCATGTACTGGTACAGTGAGAATGTGTATTGTATTGTATTGTATTGTACTGTATTGTATTGTAATATCCCGCGATAAAAAGAGTTCCTTATCAACAATCAACACGTGACCAATGGGGACAGCTGACCCACTAGTCCTCCTTTGGAAGGCGGTGAAACCATCTGCCACTACGCCACGCTTCCAGGGGATTTCGGATATTTCATCATCGTGGATCCTACCTCCCTAAGGTACTCCGTATTTCACCCAGAAAGAGGGATGCAGAGAAGACGAAAATGTATACAATCCAATAGAAATACACCGCTTTTCCCCCGGAGGCTTTTGCTTTTCCCCAAAGGGGGATCGCCAATTTCGTCTCTCCGCGGGCTCATGATTATAGTCGCTTTTCCTCAATTCTTCCTCACTTTGGCTTTCTTTGCATTGGGGTTTCATTGGGGTTTCCCCCCCTCTCCTGACTGTGCTTATCTGTATTCTTTCTATCTACTAACCTCCCTCCATCTCCGCTCTCCTCTCACTTCCCTGCTCTCGCCCCAGGATGGGGAGTGGTGGTGTCATGCTCGGATACTCTGGTCGAGACGTTTTCGCTCGGTTGTCCTATCCTAATCCAACGCCATGACCAAAGGTTGCTATACCTGCCGTCGCCGCCGCATCATCTGCGACAATGCACTCCCCACGTGTCGGAAGTGTCGGGGTGCGGGGAAAGAATGTCTGGGGTATCAGAAACCTCTCGTTTGGGTCAAAGGGGGGGTCGCCAGTCGGGGCAAGATGATAGGTCTCAGTTTCGACGACGTTCAGAAGGATACCGAGACACAGGATAATTTGTCCACTTCCGCCAACTTTCCCGAGAATGCGGAACTTCTGCATCCATCGAGTCTCCCACCACCACCACAGGTGGAGACAGAAGCGGAATGCGCCGATCGCCACCAAGGGGCTCCTGTGGCTGTGAATCGTGTTCCGATACCTTGGGTCCTGACGGATCCGCTGTTCAAGGACTGCAGTCGCATGTCCAGGTTTTATATTGATCATTGTATGTTGCTGATGGGTCTTGCCTGGTGCAATTATCTTATCTAACTCTTTTTTTCCTTTGGCAGTCAATCACAACGTCACAAGGTATCTCGCTTTATACTCAGACGTGAGGAATCCGTTCCGAGATCTTATCCCCTTAGTCAGTGATTCGCCTGTCATCTCTTACTCCCTCGCCGCCACGGGAGCCCTTCACCATGCTATCCTCGTAAACGGGGAGTTTTCCCCCATGCCGTGGTCCGCGGACAGGTTATCGACCAGTGGAATACCCTCACCTCCCGAAGAGGCTCCACCAACTGAGATTAGCTCCCTGGTCCGACGCCCATCAACAAGATCATATGAACATTTCCTCGGTCTCAAGCAACGTGCGCTCCATCAGCTATCGCAGGATATTTGCGATCCCGTCATGCGAAATGACAACATGACACTGGCGGCAATTATGGTCTTTGCCCTTATGGACGCCATCGAATCCGGGCATGCAGCGTGGAAATTCCATCTGGAGGGGGCCAAAAAAATCATCCAGAATCGCGAACACGACCCGACAAGCCAGGCACGAAGAATGATGAACTGGGTGGACGATTTTGCTACTGATGGATGTCTTCTGTATGTTTCTCTCTCCTCAGTTGCCGCCCCGATTTATGGAATTTTTTTTTTTTTTTTTTTTTTTTTACTCATATTCTTCTCCAGAATCCAACTAATGGGCTCTACGCTGGCTCGACCCGGTTCGCTCTCGAAGCCGTTTTACTCTTCCGCAATGGGCTTGCCGGTTCTAAAACGTCTCGAAGAAACGTCATGGGTAGGGTGTCCCGCCTACCTGCTTGAAGCTATCCTCTTGGTCCATGCCTTCTTTGATCTCGAACCGGATGCCAACTCCTCCCCACATGTCCCCGAAGGCTCAAATCCACTCCAATGTCCCGACAAAATCACCCTGCACATTCAAGCCTTTGACCCCGTTGCCTGGGCCGAATCGCTCCAGAGCTACCTTTACCTCCCCGACCTCTCCATGCGGATCGCCCTCGCCACCATCTACAAAGCTTCCGTCTACCTCTACGCTACCCGGGTCCTCTCCCGCCCCGTCCCGGCTCCACCATCTCCACGACCCTTGGTCTGCCCCCCAGACCATGCCGAGGTCGCCGCCCTCCTGATCCACCAGATCTCTCTGATCCCCGTCTCCGACCCTCACTTCAAATGCCTCATCTGGCCCTCCTTCATCGCCGGTGCCGAATGTAGAGACCCCGCCCAACGCCCTTTCCTCCTTGAATCCCTCCGCACCCTCTACTTCCTCATCACCAGCGTCAACATCCGCAACGCCGCCTGGGTCCTAACTCTGATGTGGCGCAAGCGCGACCTGAGACGCGGGGGGGATCCAAGTTCCCCGTGGATCCGCCGGACCGTGACATCAGCGGCCCGGACAATGCCACTGCGAGTTGCTTCTCGACTGCCTCCACGGCGACGCGTCTCAGCCTTCATAATGATAATTTTAACGACGACGACAATAATGATGATGATGATGATGATGATGATGACTTTGACTGGATACAGGAACTGGATGACTCCCAGGTTGATTGGCTTTTTATCTAATTGATATCCACTTTTGTTGTTCTGGCACACAAACTTTTATTATATATATAATAATCTATATATATATATGGATGGATGTATAGCACCATTTGTCCGGTGATATTCTAATACCCCCTTAATGTAGACATGACCAATGCAAATTTAATAACTTCACCCAAACTCATTCCATTCCTACCTTCTATATTTCTTAAAAATACAACAGGATATGTCAAAAGCACACCCATCCATACTGATATAAAGAGAGAGAGAGAGAGAAGGCCTCAAATCATCATCGCTGCTAGTCCTACAACAGGTTGGCAAACATTCTTTTTTCAGTGGCTGGCACTAGCTAAAGTAAAGGTAAAGATAATACAAGATATAATCAAGAGCGGAGCCTCTTATCATATTTAAATAAAGATGGAGAGCAAAAAGACTTATATATCTGGGATAGAGGGGGAAACAGTAGTAGGGATGAAGAAGAGTAAAGCAAAAGCCAAATTGGTCAGATGAGGGATATATGTATACTCCTTCCCATCTAAATGCAACAATCTCAACCAAAAAAAAAAAAAAAAGACGAAGAAGAAGAAGAGAAGAGAAGAGAAATCGCTCATGATTGCAAGATGCAAAACTAGGGCTGAAGACTAAATCGCATCACAAAGGAAATTCTTCCAAATGCAAACAGACAAAGGAAACATTGATCGACTCGTGCCCCACCGATATCAAAAAAAAAAAAAAAAAAAGTAATCAATCCAAGGCAATATTTGAGACTAGCTGGGAATCTGAGAAACAAAAGGAAATATTGTATATTGTGTTAGGGGGACAAACCCCCTTTTACACACACGCGAGATGATATCAGGAAAGCAATCAGGCAGACAACAAATGGGGAATAGAATATATTCCAAATAAATTGATGAAAGTTGAAACATTGCGGTCCTGCGCAGTGAATATCCCGCTGGAAAAAAAAAAAAAAAGAAGAAGAAGAAGAAGAGAAGATGATGGTAAAGAAGAAGAGAAGATGAGATCAAGTAGAAGTTGGGGGATAATAGGATGTCTGTTGGCGAATGGCTGTTTAAAACACTGCAGCCAGGCCGTTCTTTGAATGCCGTCTACTAAAACGCTTCTTTCCCTTGATAGAATCGGAATCGTTCGCATGGTGTTTAACCAAAGTAGCTCGTCCGGAGGATCCGTCGTGTACAGTGTCTGAGCTTTGGTCGAGAGTATTGGCGTGGCTCGATAATCCAGACGAAATGTCACGGAATGCCTCGTCAGCCGAATATGGCCCACTGCTTTGAAGGGCCAGTGCCATCTCCCGTGCTCTATCTAAAGTATCCAGCCATTCCTGCGCTGATAAAGCAGTTGCACCCAGGTTGTTCGAAGAGGGTTTCGGGGTCTTCAAAGACAAAATGTTTGTCACGCTTTTTTTTTTTTAATAATCTATTGTTAGCGCAAGAGGTTAAGAGGGAAGGAGAGCAATATCATACCGTATCCACAATCCAACACGACGACCCTTTTGCATCCGTGGAACTGCGGTAATGTGTCCCTGGAGCAAGCAGAGAAATCTCCAGTTTCGCCTTCTTTTCGTCTCCCCCAGCAGCAGCCATGATGATGCGCCCAGAAGAAGTGACCATGACTAACCGCTGCCGCTTTTTAGTCGTACTACCCCCAAAGAACCGCGAGAATTTTTTTGGGTGCTTCATATTCACTTCCATTCTTGGACACGGGACTGTGAGGGGGGCGGGGAGGACACAACGACCAGGTTGCCCATTTTCAGGATTCGTTCGTTGGTTTTTGTCAGAACAGGGGACCACTCAATATCAAGTTGGCTGGGTGCGGGCACTTCAGTGACCAGCCTAGGCACCACTCGAGAAGAAGCGTTGTTTGATGGTGCGGTACTAAATGCTCGGAGGAAAGCTCTCCCCACTAGAACCACCGTTGAGTTTGATGGGTTCCCGAGGCGGCGGGGAGTAAGCTTTCAGGCGCGGTGCCTTTTGCTTCCACAACTCTGCGCCCCAGGATACTCCATGAAAGAATTCGTGGTTCTTGATATGTTCGATAGGAAGGCGACGGGCCGGATCAAGAACGAGCAGGCGCTCAACGAGGTCACGGCGATACTAGGAAAGCCAACAGGGAACTCGTAGTCGAGCGCCACGATCTTTTGGAACGTTTGGTACTCGTTCCCGGCTTTGAATGGCGGTCGACCAGCTATAAGCTGATAAATTATGCAGCCAAACGCCCAAAGATCACTCGCTTTGCACGCATTCTTGTCCGTTAATAGTTCGGGGCTGACATACTCTGCGGTACCCACAAAGGAGCTGGCCCTTTCTTCCTCGGGCATATCGGCATCCAGCGACGGGATTCCGCCTTGGTTTGAATTCGATGGTTGACTCTTGAGGATCTTCGCGGTGCCAAAGTTCGGTAATTTTAACCATACATCTGGCTATCCAGGAGAACATTCTCCGGTTTGAGATCACGATGGATCACTCCACATTTGTGCATGTAGTCAATGGTATCCAATATCTGAGCACCGTTAAAACCTCGTGCACTCCTCATCAAAGGTGGTCATCTCGCTTCAAGCGACCCCGAGGAGCTCGCCCCCCTTTGCAAAGATCCAGGGACGAAGTAGAGCGAGCGCTCATCACTGGAAGATGTATAATACCAGCCGAACAATCCCGGGGTGGTCGTGAGCCGATTAAGTGTGTCCTTTTCAATATTTACATACTTTACCTTTTTCTCCTTGATAATGTGACGTTTATCGAGGATCTTAATTGCGTATTCTTTGAGCGTTTGTCGGTCTGTGCCAAGTACGACGGTACTATAAGAGCCTTCACCGAGGGTGTGACCAAAGGAGAAATCCCGGACCCCTTTCTTGATGTATCGCGCGACCGGCTTCCCATTCGCATCAATCTCCTGTCTAACTGCAACGGCAGCGCCACGGTCCTGCCATTCTTCACTACTTGTCATCGGGCCGTTTTCCATTCCATACGGGGCTCCGGAAAGCTGCGGAGGAGCCGCGGCGCGCGCTCTAGATGGTTGACGCATTACCGCCACCCCATTTGCAGGTGGGATCTGCGCTGTTTTATAAGAGCGATCACTGTGGCTATTATCACGGATTGGAACGCCAGCCTGGAGTGCTGCGGAACCGCCACGCTCGGTGCGTGCTATGCTTTCGGAGGCAGACGAGGCGGCGGAATCCGTTCGGATGCGATATGATCCTTCTCGAACAGCGGCTGCTGAGGCAGCGCCATTTGCAAATAAGGCCGATACGGGGCGCGAGGAAGTCGATGGGGCCGGATGTTGCGGTTGAGACGTAAAGGGGGAGGTATAATGCGAGGTAGGTTGCGGCTGTACATCAGGGCGATACGACGGGTAGACGGAGTCG